GCATGCCGGTTGATGCCAGTTGACACCGCAAAAGTGAAAACTGAACTCCCACTTGCAGTTTTGCTGAGTCCTGCTTCGGGCCATAGCCTGGGGCAAAGCAGCCTGCATAGGCCCCCCCCTCCCTGTTCCCTGGCACACTGACGCACCGGACATGGCAGGAGGGGCGTCTTTGCTCGACCAGGCAAAGACGTCTCTCAGGTAACCAGCATATTTGGTTATCTGGCACCCCCCATTCCCCATGGGTGCCAGATAACAGAGGTTTTGCTGTATTTCACTGGGTCAAGGGGAACATCATGCCAGGTATGGTACAGAATGAGCACAGTAGGAATTACCACCTTTCTACTATTGTTGTAGAATTGGTGCATCAATTAAAAAAATTAGACATATATAAGTCAGCAGGACTGGATGAACTTCATCCGAGAGTGCTGAAGGAGCTGACTGAAGTTGTTGTGGGACCCCAGGTGAAACTCTTCCACAACTTGTGGTGCTCTGGAGATGTCCCTGAGGACTGGAAGAGGGCCAATGTTGTGTCCATCCACAAGGAACGGAGGAGGGAGGACCCGGGTAACTATAGGCCAATTAGCCTAACTTCTATCCCAGGGAGAATCCTGGAAAAATTAATTGCATGGCAACCCATATGAGGAAAGGCTGAGGGACCTAGGACTATTTTGCCTGAAAAAGAAAGGCTGAGAGGGGACTTGGTAGCAGCTTACCACTACATTAGGGGAGTACATCAAAGGCTTGGTGAACAACTGTTCACCAGGGCACCCTTGAGGAGAACCAGGAGTAATGACCACAGACTCCTGGAAGACCATTTCAGGCTCAACATTAGAAGAACTTCTTTACTGTTAGCGTGTCCTGACAGTGAAATAAGCTCTCTCCAGAGGTGGTGCAATCACCTGCCCTGGAAATCTTCAAGAGGTGACTGGATGGTCACCTTGCTGGGGTCACTTGACCCCAGTTGTTGTCCCTGCTTTGTGCAGGGTGCTGAATCCAATGATCTTCCAAGGTCCCCTCCAGCCTATGAATCTATGAATAAAATTGATTTGGGTCCATCAGAAACATTTTGTTTAACACAAATAGAAAGAGTTTTTAGGTCACTTAACATTTCCCTGCCTCATTCCTTTAATAAATATAGACCAAATTCTAAAGAGTAACATGACATTATTTAGAAATGAGAAATTGAAACCTTTTTCTTCAGCAACACCGAAACAAAGTATTTAATCTCTTTTTAAAAGAAAAATTTCCCCCATTCTTCGATCAGAACTCCTTACTGAGTTTGGCCTGAAATGCACAATTGCCATAAGCTGTTGGAGAGTAGGTTTAGACTGGACATTAGAAAAAAGTTATTCACAGTCAGGGTTGCCAGGATCTGGAATGGGCTTCCAAGGGAGGTGGTGCTTGTGCCATCCTTGGGGGTCTTCAAGAGGAGACTGGACAGGCACCTGGCTGGGATCACATAATCCCAGGTTTGGTGACTGTTTTTTTGCCTGCTGGGGCAGGGGGTCAGACTAGATGGCCCACTGAGGTCCATTCTGACCCATGAATCTATGAATCTATGAATTTTGTCAATAGTTTCAGCCCTTGTGAAACTGCATTTTTCACAATTATTTTCAATTTAACATTTGCCCGCAACAATTTCTCCCATATCTACTCAGTGCAGACCATTTAATCAAACTCAATGTTCAGTCCTTCAAGAGAACTTTCATTTTGTCCACACAGTGATTTTTTACACATTACCCTAATTATTAGTTCTTAGTTATTCACAGTCATTCCTTTGCCGATATCCCATTTACTGGTAACTTCTCTCTTATGTGCCCTCTTTTCGTTATCATTTCTCCCAAAAGTGAGATGGGATAATTCTGGGGACTATTTGACTTGGACTCCTGTACTGACCTGAGGTGTCTTCTCTGATCCTTTCCAATTCTTTTCTTCATCTGTATGGGATTACAGATGAACAGGGAACCTTGTTGTAGGGTTTGAAATACACGTGAGCCCCGCATAAAAGCCGAGAACCCCCATGAGTCCCCCATAAGAGATGTGAGCCCTTGGCCTGCCCCAGACCTTTCTAAGCAGCTCAGGTGGCAGTAGCAGGGGCGGGGGTCATGGTTCCTTCCAGCTTCTAGCTGCCACCACCGCAGCCCCCCCACCACCAAGAGTCAGAGTGTAATTTGAACCCTGCCCTGCTGTAATACTATTTTGTCTCCTGCCACCCTGTGTTATTGCCCTCTGCAAAGCCAAGTCTAAACAACGTGTTCCTTTTTTCTCACCAGGGGCACGGAAGGAAATGACAACTTATTCTGAGCTGAAGTTTCAGAAACCATATGAGCAGCAGAGAAGTGCAAGGCCTCAGCAAGCCGAAGGCAGAGGGACTGAGGGAAGCCCAACCCCACTGAGGAGAAATAAAGGTAACCTTGTCCGGGTTTTAGAGCCGTCCTGGGACATCTTATCTTTCTGTTATCACCATCAGAATAAAAAAACGTGTAATGCATGGGTTCTTCTTTTTGAACTAAATTCGCCTGCCAGGTGATACATACTCTATGGGACTTCTCATCTGAAACATTCACTAGCACAGATCAGCCCTGCAGCTTGTAACCAACTTTTTACTGCTTCTACAATGCAAGTGCTCTGTTCCTGGCCATGCTATTCCTTTTCTGTCTGTAATCAAACCTCTTCTAAGTATATTCTTTTCATTTAAGGGGTCAGGTTTTTTCCACAATGAATCAGCAAAAGATTCTTACTTGTATTTTATAGTAAAATTGGGATTCTCAGATAAAGTATGATCTCTCTAAATAATTACATGAGTTTTTCCCATGAGGATATATACAGTGAGTAGTTTTGCAAATGTGCAATTTAGTTTCATGTTTATCATAATGTAATTATTAATTATCATTATTAATCATTTGTTTTTTAAATTCCCAGCTTCTGCAATCATATTATTATTTCATAACTATTAAGGCCAAAGAAACCACCTGGTCTGCCTTCCCAAGTATTTATATTTGAAGGAATCTTAAGCTCTAGACCTTTGGAGTCAAGACCTAATGCATCACCACGACTCCTAACCTGGCTTATTTTGAGTTACTCCTACTTCTAATGTGACTCATAATCCAGTTACCATAATGACGGTGCCCCTAAGGATATGAACCTCTGTGATAGTAGGCAACTGTTGATCCTCTGGATCATGGAGTATGCATATGAGGTCTAGCCACCAAGACCTTCATTGTGTATGACTAGGCAAATGTATGCAGAAGTAGAGACTTACCATTCCTCTTTTAGACCATTGAGACAGAATCCAAAGGCCAGACAAAGTCCAGATGTTCAGTAGAGCTGTGTGAAGCTTTGGGTGCTGATTCGATTAGGAGGAGATTCAGCCCAATCTCCAAATCCAAATTGAATCAGGGGACCAATTAAAAGGTGTGAATTGATTGGAAGCTCTCTGAATCTTCAGAAAAGATTTGGAGAGCTTTGATGATTCGGACAGTCCCCGCTCGCTGCAGGAGGGAGCTGCAGCTGGACTCGGAGCTGGTAAGTAGGGGCAGGGGAGAGGGGGGCTAGAGGAGGGGGGAGGTACCATGG